AAAATAAAAGTTGCCAAGATCAAAGCTAAACCCTCATCTTATCCCCCTGAATGGAATATGCCCTCTTTAAAAAAAGAAAAAAAAAGAAGAAAATATATATAATTGATTCCAGAGAGGAAGAGAGAGGGTGAGAGTGAGAGAGATAGAAACATCAATGATTAGAGAGAATCATTGATTGGCTGCCTCCTGCATGCCCCTACTGGGGACCAAGCCTGCAACCTGGGCATATGCCTTGACTGGGAATCGAACTGTGACCTTCTGGATCATAGGTGGATGCTCAACCACTAAGCCACATCAGCCAGGCTATACACTCTTTTTCAATGCATAGTGTTTCCTATCTGCAAACCAGGGAATGGATGTTTGTTGACTGACAGATCTTTCTCTGAGCATTTAATCACCAAAAGGATTCTTTAGAAGAGAATCATTAACACCTGATAAAAATGAAAACAATAAGGTTTTTCTCAAAATAGACTTCTTAGCAGAATTTAATATCCCAAAACACCTTGTCCAACAATTAGATACAACAAATAGTATAAGTGAGGAAACAAGTAGGAAAGACAATGACGCGTAGGAAGCACATGGTTTAAACTGGGTGAAAAGGCAATGTCTTACTGGCATATGCCACATTTCTGTGAGCTGATGGAGGCAGTTGACCCTCCCCAGAGTTTGCATTACTATCCAGGTAAGTAAGCAGGTCAGACTTACCTCTGGGATGAAGGGCCCACAGCACTATGATTTGGGAGGAAGGGATGGCATTGAAAGTTCTAGATCTTTGATCAGTTCTGGGGTAATACTGCAACTTTCTCAAACATTCATATGCCATTCCTTCCTGAACATAGGAAAGTCTCACATTGAATGGAAGTATTCGTGTATGAAACCATTTGTCATTTCAAAGCCACACTAATTAGGTGCCTAGTCGTGTATACTGTGGAAATAGTGCTTTACAACAGTCAGCGCAGATACACTTATCCCCACATCTGAGGAGCGCACAAAGACAGACAGACACACTGATACGAATCCATGAATCCATGAACGTGTACACACATAATGCAACAGAGATGATTTACCTTTTGAAAGAAAATGCTAATGGGCACTTTGTTCATTTTACAATGCATTTGTAGTTAGATAAACTTAAAGCCTTATTTAGAAGAAAAAGTAATCAAAAGAGAGGTACACTTGATTCTGCATCCTACTATCAAAAAGAGTAGAAAAGAAGAAGAGAGAAAAGGCCAGGCTATAGTGATATCAGGATACTTGCAAGACAAAGAAAATTAAGGGAGAAAGACACAAATTATCATATAAAGAGATAATCAATAAAATATTATAATTAAAGTAAATGTGAAAATAAAAAGATTAAGAGAAAGTAGGGACAAACTAATTTTAAGGGCAATTATATTGTGAATAAACATAACTAAGTCATCAGACACAATTCTTTGGATTTATTTTAACTATGGAAATAATCAGGGATTTCCACCTCTCATCCTCTTTATCTACTAACAAATTATTATTCGTTTGTTATGTTCACTTACATATTTTTAAAAAATCTATTTTCAAGTATAATTTATTGCCTGACTTATAAACTCTGAAAGTTGTGTTTTCAATTTCATTGCAAATACAAACTGATTCATATATATTTGTGCTATTAGTAAGTCATAATTAAAAACAGCAAAAATATACAGCATTCAAATGACTGTTAAGCTTTCATAAGTTGATTTATCTTCAATAAATGCTTAGCTAGCAAAATGAACTTTTTCTTATTACCACTCCACAACAGAAAAATATATTACCATGTGCAGCTATGGATACAGCATTATTTTCTAATTTTGTGTTTTCCATATTTTCAGATAATAGCATGTAAATATTTCATTTGTGAGTACAGGTATTAATAAAAAGATGGCATGCCAGTTGCCTTGGCCTGGTGGCTAGTTGGCTGGATTGTCATCCCATACACCAAAAACGTTGCAGGCTCAATTCCCTATTCGGGCACATACTTAGGTTTGCAGGTTCTATCCAAGGTCAGGGTGCCTCAGGAGGCAACCAATCCATGTTTCTCTCATATCAATGTCTCTCTCTCTCTCTCTTTCTCTCTCTCTCTTCTCTCTCTCCCTCTCTTTTTTTCCCTTTCTCTCACTCCATCTCTCAATAAATAAAAGATAAATAAAAGATGATGCCCACTAGAATGACATAATGTCGCCAACAACAGGGAATGAGTCTGCTGGTATTAAATCTAAAATTTAAAATTTTTATAGAGAGAAAAACACACCAAATAAGCCTTGTGTGTTTTTTTCTTCCATATTCTAAAATGTGTCCTTCTTTCAAGTAAATCCTCTGAGCAGAATCTGTACTTTATGATGCCATCGCTCTGCAGCTCAGTAAAGCAAGGTAAATAGCTCAGCACAGCTTTTATCTGCAAGGATTCCCTGAGGCAGTTTCTGTAAAAGGGTTAATGACAGATGTTTCCATTAAATCTGACCTGCCTCTTAATTTTGCCACTGCCTGATGATATCCTGGCTTTGTGCTGATTTGCATGGGCAAATGGAGTCACTCCATAACCAGTAACACACCGCCCTCATTGAAACAAAGGTCAATTCATTTTAAACTGATGTGCACAATATTTTTTTGTAGTTGCAGTTAAAACAAAACAAAAACCTTTCATACAATGCTGCTATTTACAAAGAATTAAAAGCTCTGTTTTCTAAATCCCTGGACACAATGTACAACGGTAGGCAGAAACAAGAACTACCAATAGAAATCAATACATCCCTGTGTAGGTAACCAACTAGAAAAATCACTTCTGTCTCTAAGACATCCCTCTGATTTTTGTACTAAATATAACCAGGACACAGTACATTTTCTTCGCTGAGGAATTAGTTGAAAACGCCAAGATGCTAGCAGCATTTTCCTATTTATAGAGTGTTATTACATTTACAAAGAAAAGAAAAAGCTGTAAATATAGAGGGAATAGGTATTATCTTAGGTTGGTTAAAAGATTTAGGTATTTTAGCTTTTAGGCTACCGGTCCAAATGCTACAATTTAGAAAGTGGCCAAACTGTTTTATCACATGAAGAGAGTAAGTGACTTTGAACGCTGACTAGGTTGCTGTAATAAGTCCTTAAAAATAGATAAAGTCAGTTTAAATAGTTTAGTATAAGGCTCTATTCAAGCCTCTTATTCTGGTTAGAGGATCAAATTAGGTAAAGAGTAATGCCAAGGGGCCTTCTGTGATTCTTGTGCAGAGATATCTCAAATATGTGCTTCTTTTTGAGTAGTCTATAGCCAAGACTCAAGACACGCTGCATTAATCTAACTCCGCTGTTTTATTTTATTGTAACATTTAAGGAGTTTAAAATTATCACTTGCTAGAGATGTTCTCTCTCTATAATTATATACAGTGTTTTATACATAGATGTTTATACATACCCTATACGCATATCATATTTCATCTTTATCATTATAGTCTAATCTCTAAGACATTTAAATATTGAAATTCTGGCATTAAATTTCACCTTACTCTGAAAACAGCTCTCCTGTGTTTCATTGATAGTAAATCCATATTCAAAACACTCCCTTTATACCAAAATCTTTAAATATGTGCAAAGAAAATGGCTAAATTAGTGGTTAGTAAAGTGATACTTGCTAAATAGGTAATTTTCTTCATCTCAGATAAACAAAGCCCACAGTTGGCACATGGCAATGCAAACCACGGAGACAGTTTCAAGAACCTACTTGCCTAGTCCATAGTTTGTGGGGTTTTTTAATGCATTTGCTAAAGAAAATTATATTCTCATTATGCTGCCTTTACTTTATTCAAAACTGACATAGATAAGAAAGGAAAGATGAATGACCTTCAGGAAGGAACCTTCCCTGCTGGCCAGTGTGTCTGTGGTGGGGAGGGTCATATTCTCCCTTCCCACCAATTGCCCATATCTGATGCCCAGGCCAAGCCTCAAATCTGTATTCACCTAAGAAGCTCAGAAAAAGGGAATCATATCTTTTCTGCTAATCCCATGGATGGTCTTTCAAGATACAACTTACAATTAAAAGTATAAAACACATATGAAATCAACCAATATTGACAGAGTACATCATTTATATAAGATTCTAAGTAGTATGAAGAAGATGGTCTTAAAAATATGCGGCTTCCTTTCTGTACAAACGTTCCATTTCATTAACCAATAAGAAAAGAGTTAACCAGTCACATCAGACTCTAAAAATAATATTAAAAATGTAAAAAAAAATAAAATAAATGTAAAATATTGAATTAAATAAATGAAATTGCCATGCTGAGCGATGGAAGAAATTGGAGATTTAAATCAGTTGATTGTTTGGGTTTATAAATTCAACTTGCACTTGTGGTTAAATCAGCAAATAAAAGTGAAATCAGAACAATTGGTGTTTTCAGTAATAGTTTTGTAATTAATTAAAAAACAAAATAAGACACTATAATAAAGCCAGAATTTATTGAGCACTTATGTGTCAGGACTATAAAAAGCAGTCTATCATTTATATCACTTAATCTATGGAGTAGATACAACTATTACCCCCATTTTATGTCTAAGAAAATCGAGGCTTGAAAAGATCACATGCCTCCTCAAGGCCACAGAAATAGTCTAAGTGGTGGAGCCAGGAATCCCACCTATACGCATTCTGACTCTGGTCTTTATACTTTCAACCTTGATACCTCTTTTGTGGGCACATGGGCTTAGGAATCAAACAGATGGGGTTATATCCCACATTCTCCAATGTATTTACTATGTGAGTTGAGGAAAAGTTCTTACATTTGTAAAGGAGGAAAAACAATACTGCAGCTTTATCATGGAGATTGATTTTTTTGGCCTGCCAAGTATCTTCTCTTAAAAATAAATAAATAAATAAATACATAAATAAATAAATTTTACATTCAAGACTGTTTGAATTGGGTTTGCATCACTTATGGCCCAAATAGCCCAAGCTAATCAATCACCTAACAGAGACAATGCATGCAAAAATCTCAAGATACCTGGAAAGTAGCAAGTCCGCAGTGAATGTTGGCAGTTTCTCTTGTTATCTTAGCTCTTACAGTTGACAGGTTTTCATACCAAAATTGGAGCTCTTAGACCAGGATTGGAGAAAGAAGAAATGATCATGGCTCAGTTTCCCTGTATTAGGTATAAACAAAGAACAAAGGGACATGTTTTAAAAAGTCTAAGTACTAAGTATCAAGAAACACCAAAAGTTAGCTTCTCTTGCCTCTCAGCCAATGTTAGCATTCCCTATTGGCGCCACTGTGTCTCCAGAGGGGCCAGAACCAACGACTGCCATGTGTCCACTTTGTAGACATAATGTTCGGTCACATACCTAAGCGATGTTCCATATACAAATAACATTTTATAAAAACCAAGTCCCCACTTTATTGTGCTACTACTGCCGTGTCAACACTAACGTTTTTTACAAAGCTTAAAACCTAGGGCCTTGGAAAAAGCTAAGAAATCTGGTTCTGAGAACTTTCTTCTATATCACCCAAAAGTCCAAGGTCAGTAATTAGAGCATAGTAATAACAAAATCACTTAAGGTTTATATGGTTGCCGTATACCCGTTGCATCGATATGACAGAAAAGAAACTTTCCCTCTTCTGCTCCCTCCCTTGAACAGGCCTGATAATGTAAGAAACAAGAATGGTTCCAGAGGAACTGTTGTGAACCTCTGCGTCAATCACATGAGCATTAAAACACGGCTCGCTAGTCATTACTATATAAAGTATTCTCTTGCTCTGTGGAAAATGGTTTCAAATAATTGTTGTGTTCGAACGGGAGTTTTGTTCTTTTTTTAATATAGCAATTTGAGAGAGAGAAAAAAATAGAAAAGAAGATATATTCAAGAAACAAACAAATATTGAGATAGTTGAATCAACTAATTGTCAAGTGACATTATCATATTTGTATAGAAGTTACACATGGTATGTTCCTAGACCTAAGAGGCAATATAGTTGGAAAACTGAGGACAACAGTAGCAAGAAAGGGACAAGAATCTGCCCAACCAAAGCATGCAAATAAACTTATTTTCTGGCTTTAAAAACACGATTCTTTCTTCCAGGTCTCTCCACTGAAGAGCTAAGCATTGAGTGTGGAAGGCCCCCTGCCAGGGAAGGCACCGGCTTTCTTTTAAATTCATGGGGACTGAACTATGATGAAGGCAGAGCCTTATCTTGTGGGTATGTCTAACCAATAGGTGGGAATGCCTCAGTTGACCTTCAAAGCCAGGTGCTGGGAAATGGGTTCTTATCTAAATCTAGTCAAGCACCAGGAATGAATTCGATTCGGACCCACCTGAAGGTGACTATTTACATGGAAACTACAGAATACACACATTCCCCCTTCCATTTACCCTTCCTGGTATTTGGCTATAAATAAAAGTTGCTGCACTGGCTCTGAGCCCTGTTCATCTATCAGAGAGCAGACACCACACCAGGTCCCAGCTTTCCTCTATTTCTGTCTCAGTCTTGTTTTATTCAATTTTCCTTAAACCTCCTCTCATTCTATTCAAGATATCATCAACCCCTGAGTTCTCTCTTTGCGCTGGTCTAAAGAAGAGAGAACGTCATCTCCCCATATCTGATGCCATGAACAGGGACCCCCATAATTGAGGAGAATCAAGTCTGCAAAAATTTTCACCTTTAGTTCTGGCTTCTCTATCTAGGTTCAGCAACGTTGATTTTTAATATTGTGTGTGTGTGTGTGTGTGTGTGTGTGTGTGTGTGTGTGAGAGAATATGTGATATAAGATTAATGCATGTATTTGCCAGAAAAGAAACCAACTGGGCTACAGGTCAAACCTCAGGAGCTCTTGATGTTCTTGTGTGACAGAAGCTGAGGATGGAATATATGACAGCGCCTTAAATTCAAGCCAACAAAGACTCATACCATTATTATAGACCAGAGCTCTTCAACTATGGTTTCTCTGTTGGAAAAAGTAGTAGGCAGTAGAAGGGTGGGGCCTTCTGACAGCTTTTGAAAAACATGGCACTAAAGAGGATGAGCTTGCCAGTGGGCCACCCACGGAAAATTCTACTGCTTATACGAAGCATCACACTGAGTTATAAGAAAATCAATGAACAAAATATCCAGTCTAGCAATTCTTTCACACAAGTTCGGAGCCTTAGAAACTAAACAGAGAATGATGAGATAAGATGAGATGATGCCAATCTTTTGTGGAGTGGCCCTAGGCAAGTTATTGGTGTCTCACTCTCTTCAAGTATAGACTGCTGTTACCACTCTATTACTGATAATACAAAAAGACACCCTAACAACAACTCCCAGGAACAATACAGTGAGAATGAATGTGTGGCCAGTGATTTAGGAACAAGGGAAGAAAGGTACAATGATTTACTATTACAAAGTGCTTTATCAACCAGCATATTACATAATGTGTTATAATGTACCATGTGCCCACGGAAACATGAAATCATTCATAGTTCTTAAGTACTGCCAGATGCGTAGCTATAACAAATTTCAACCCTTTCTGCGAATTCACCCACACACTCACTTCTCCAACCAATATTTCCACTGGTAACTGTCAGAGTTGAGAAATCATAGAACAGGCCCTTATTCACATCTCTGTGGTAATTACATATCATTTGCTTCATATTTGGGTAGGGAACATGTCTTATTCATAATTTTATAACTAGGGGACTTGCCCTGTTCTAGTATGTAATTGGTGCTCAGTAAATGTTTATTGAGTGAATGAGCGAATGAACACTGTTATCCTAACAGTTAGACATAGCAAATCAAAGAGTGAACCTTAGTGATGGCACTTAGACCAAGAAGAGTCTCTAGTGATAGAAACATGTAGAATGGAGGTGGTCAAAGACTGGCTCCTTCCCAGCAAGTGTATACGTTATTTCTAAGGATTAGCTCATTTGTCACTTGTCATAACTTTCTGGAATGTATAAGTAATCCTATTACAAAAGATCTTTGCCATTCTCAATGGAGGCATCTGTCTTTACTTAAGAATGCTGAATGATTTCACTTTCTAATGGCTGGGAACACAGTACATTACAACCTTTATAAAGATTGAGGAATTTCTGAATATTATACCTGTGGTAGGTGAAGAGATACTTTAAAATTTGAACTAGTATTCCTAAGGCACACAAATGCAATAAAATGGGGAAAAAATCTGGACTTGGAATCAGAAAATCTAGTTCTGCCACATACTTGCTCTATGGTTTTGACCTACTTAACCAATTTTCTCTGAGCCTGTTTTAATCTGTAGTGACAACTTTGTGTAAGAAAAACATTCATACGTCCAGGGTCAATGAGGTAATTTCATAAGACTTGTATGCAAAAGTAGCCTATAAGTAAAAAATGCCACATTATAGCATGGCAACTAGTTATACAATGGCAGAGACATTTGTGGTGTACATAAACTATGAGATCCTTCGGCTCAGGGTTCATGAATTATTTAACTTAGTAGTTCATGTCACTAGGACATGGCCTTTAAAACAATCAAATGAACCACCAATGCCAGTGGTTGAACTGGAGGCACCAACCAGATATCAGCATTCAATTCTCAGAGTGGCCACTCCAAGGTCCCTTCTGATAAACTGTCTAATATGATGTTCTGCAAGGTGTGGTCCTCCCACAACCAGCATGAGATTTGGCTTGTTTGCTTGTAAAAATGCAGGCCCCCAAAACTCATCCAAGGAGACTGTAATGCATTATATCAAGCATCCATGATAACTATTATGTGCTCTAGTCCAGTAAGTTTAAATTTACTTTTGAACATGTAGTAGCTATGGAACATGATCAATTCTATCAGAGAGGGTATGTGCTCTTAATTTACATATTTTATATATTCATCTATTTACATTTTATAAACTGTTTTCAAATACATGAAATAGAACATTAAAAACAATGACAAATGGTTTAAAAAACTTTATAGTAATCCAGAAATGTAAGATAATACAATTTTAAAATAAAGTTGCATCCATGATAAATTTAAATATGTTTGGTTTTTTTGAAAACATTTATGTGGTTATTATCTGCATCTCCACATGAGACTGTGCTTTATATGGTTCTGAAACCTCACTTTGTACACTGCTGTGTCATGGCCCTAAAAAAGGCCTGGCACATAGTAGATACTCAATAAGTATTTATTGAATAGAACAATGAATAGATATAAAGTGAGCTTACAGGCCTCAGAAAAGTTGTTGCCTTAAAATATGCCTTAAGACCTAATCGGTTTGGCTCACTGGATAGAGCGTCGGCCTGTGGACTGAAGGGTCCCAGGTTCAATTCCAGTCAAGAGCATGCACCTTGGTTGCGGGCACATCCCCAGTAGGGGGTGTGCAGGAGGCAGCTGATCAATGTTTCTCTCTCATCGATGTTTTTAACTCTCTATCCTTCTCCTTTCCTCTCTGTTAAAAAAAAAATCAATAAAAAATATATAAATTATGCCTTAAAATATGTTTCTACATAAGAATGGGTTCATATGACAGAGTTTATAGCCCAGGATCTCCTGATCATAAAAATGTAGGGACATAGGGTACAAAAATAAGCTATCAGTTAAGAGATTGCATATATATTCTTCTGAAATGCTAACTTTTAAACTGAGGTTGAAAATGCAAATTGGAAGGTAATCATCCTTAATTTATAGATGCTTTTACTCCAAAATTAAGCCCAGTTGTGTAGAAAGGCCTTCCTGATGAAGAATGACACTGTGCAAAAGGGCAAACGGGTAGAATAGTTTTGTGATGGAGTATAAGTAGTGGTCAGATTCTCCTGAAGTTATGAGAAGAATGACCATGGGCTGGAGGAGATATTAACTTTAAGAGCCTAATCTTGACTAGAGCTGCTGTCCCCTGGACTGCAGGTCTGGCCGATCACTCCGTGCCCTCCAACCTCTCAAAGTTGAGGAAAGAGTACCAGTTGCAGACATTTGGAACAGCGATAAGAAGAAAGTGAGACAACCACACAGAAGTCACTTAGCAGTGATGTTCTAATCAAAGAGCATAAGTCCAGTTTCCACAGGGATGACACTTGGTTCTAATCACACCTAGGAATCCATGGAGATGGGTTTGAGCGTATATAACTTATTAAGGTAAAGGTGCGGGCATAGGACCTCCAAAATAAAGAACCATTAAATGGGTTCACTGTTAAAGTCCA